AGCATATTACCCTTTTATTAGTATAGATTTATTGAGGCATATGGACATACAATAAAATGAACATATTTAAAGTGTACAATTTGGTAAGTTTTGACATGTAAACATCACTATAATCAAAATAACATATCCATTACCCCCAAAGAGTTTTCCCTCCCTCCTGCCCCTCTCTCCTCTTTCTAAGGCAACCACTGCTCTATGTCTGTCACTTTAGGTTAGTTTGAGTTTTCTAGAATTTTATATAAGTGGAATTACACAGTAAATACTTTTCAGGGGGCTTCTTTCACTCAGTATAGTTGTTTTGAGATCATCTGTGTTGCATGTACCAATAGTTCATTTCTTTTTATTCCTTGGTAGCGCTCCATTGTTTGTATATGACCACAATTTAATGCCTTTACCTGTTAATGTTCATTTGGGTTGTTTCCATTTTTTGGCTACTACAAATAAAGCTCTTGCAAACATTTACAGACAAATTTGTATGGGCATATGCTTTATTTCTGTTGAGTGAAAACCAAGGGAGAAATGGCTGGGGTCATACATTAGGTATATGCTTGACTTTTTTAAAAGTATCCAAATTGTTTTTCCAAAATGGCTGTACCATTTTATATTCCTGTCATCAGTATATGAGAGTTCCAACTGCCCCAAATCCTTGCCAACACTCGGAATGGTCACCCTTTTAGATATTTAATTTAGGTTTTATATTTAGATTTATAATCAACTTTTGTTAATTTTTGTGTATGGTGCAAGGCATGAATCAAAGTTTGTTTGGACTTGTTTTTCTGCATATGGGTACCCAACACATAGGGAAAATCTTTTAGTCTTTCACCATTAAGTATGATAATGTACATTTGGGTGGTTTGCATTTTTTGGCTGCTACAAATAAAGCTCCTACGAACATTTGCAGACAGACTGAAAGCACGGTTAAAGTTACAGTTTTGTAGGTTGATCATAGATGCCCTTTGTCAATTTGAGGAAGTTCCCTTCTAGTCCTAGTTTTCTGGGTTTTTATTGAATGTAGATGTTGGAATTTGTCCCATTCTTTTTCTGCATCTACTGAGATGATCGTGTGGTTTTTCTATTT